TAATAAAATTACATGTAGAATAATATAATTTTTTATAATAATATATATAATTATTTAATTAATTATTTTACAATAAAAAAGATTTTGATGAATATTTTGAATTTTTTTATTTTTTTGGTAATATATAGTACACTTTCTTATTAATTTTTTTAATATAAGAATAAGAGCATATAAATTTCATGTCCTCTCTAATATTATCTTTATAATATATTATCATGTTTAATGTATTATATGCTTTAAAGCATTTATTTGTAATAGTTTTAATTTTAAAGAATGTATCAATAGTTTTAGATATTAAATATATATAAATTATCCTTAACCTTAATTATTATGTGATATAAGAATCATAGATATTTCGGAACATAATATTTAAGTTGATGATTTAAGGATAAAAGTAAATTCACTAATTATCTTACGTACATCATGTACACCAATATTTATTATAAAAAATAGAATCTTTTGGTCTCATGATATTTATTAAGGTCTATTATGTATTACTTATTTTAAAACTTTAATTTAAGATTATTTTATCATTAAAAGGCCTCGATGAATTAAAAAAATATAATATTTATAAAATATTCATAATTTTATTTCTTAAATAATATAATATTTAGCATAACATAGTCACTAAATCAAAGACTAATCAATTGACAATGTTTGGTATAAGAATAATATTTTTTTAACCTTATGTAATAATATTTTATTTATAAACTAGAATGTGCGAATCTTATTTAATATGATATTAATCATGATTAATATGCCTAATATATTATTCAATTTAAAATTTTAATTTATTAAAATCTATTTTAACTACATTTAATCTTGATTATTAAATTTACTAAAATCATAAATTTTTTTAAATTTATTTTTGTTAAATGAATTTTTTCTATTAATATTTTTTAATCATAAGAAAAGTATTAGATAGAATGTGTTAGTGACTTTTCTTATTTAAAGTTTTTGCCTTTGTAGTTTAAACTGGAAAAAAAAATCCTGTTTTAATTAGACCAAAAATTAGTAATTTTTTATATTACTTTCTTTTTTATTTGATTTCGTAATTATTTATGATATTATTTTTTATTTTTTTTAAAATAAATCAATATTATTAAATTACATGTAGTAGTACATCTGTTTATATTCATTTAATCAATGTATATATATATATATATATATATATATATATATACATTAAATAACTTAATTATATAGAAAACATCTAACATTAATTTATTTTAAAAATTAATAAAATAAATAATTTTAGATAAGCAAAATTAATAAAATAATTAATATTATCATTGAATAAATGTAATATTAAACTTAATCACATCAACCAATTGCAACATACTAATGGGAGGCGAAAATTTGAAAAAATGTCACTACTCTTATCCCAGACCCAGGACTTTGGAGGATTATAAACCTACCAACTATCTCATATTTTCATAGATTTCTTACTTTGACTATGTTTAAAACTTAGACACTTATTAGTAAAACCAACCTGTAATCTCTAAACACTTTAAGGACACATACCTTATCTGAGGTGAGGGAGTAAATGTAAAAAAAAGACAGAACTTAAACCCTAACTCACAATCATGGGAGCCATATTGAGCACTACAGAATTATTATACTCATCATGAGTTAACATGATAGATATGCCAAGTAATCAACCTTTATGACAACAACTATGATTAGCATCATAATTTTTTTCCTTCATGGATCTCCTGCATCACATAATCAACCATGATCTTGATCTGTGTTTTCACTCATCTTTCTCAACTTATGCTAAGAAGTATAGAAGGATATTTAATTTTAAGTGAAAATTTGAATAAAATCTGAAATGTTTATCCTAGATCTCATGCAGTATAAATAAAAAATGTTAAATAGGATGTAACAATGTGAAAAGTTAGAAAGTTCCATGGTTTGAAACAGTAGAAGTTGTTTGAATTATTTTTCAAAATTAATAGGTCCCAGTGACAGAACTTCTGCAATTTCTGAAGGAGAACGAAGAAACTAATGGTACCAGAATTGGTTTCGCCATGTGACTTCTCTGCCATTTTGCTTTTGTGAGATGACAATAATTATATAAATAATAACAATAACTTTTAAAACAATTTTTTCATAAATTTAACTTTACCTTATATTTTTCTTTTCAATTATACAATCTTTCCTTCCGTCATGGTTTTTCTATATTTTTTTTCATACAAAATAATATTTGATACATGAAGAAAAGGGTAACCTAAAAAGTAAGTGGGTGGAAGGAGTGAGAAATTGCAGTAGTGGGTGCACCCATGCTCTTTTGACATTTTGCAGTGATTTTTTATTTGAACATATAAAATAATTGTGAGACACATAAATTAAGGAATATTCTTTACCTTGTTGGTTTGGACCATAGAAATACAATACAATTCTGCTCTATAGTGCTGTTACAAAAGAAGTGGTCCCCTTCTCTAATCTCTAGTCTGTGTCACCACGTGACATGCCTTTACCTTCTTCCCTTTCTCATCTCTTTTTATTTTACTGTGTCTTGTATCTTATTCTGGCAGCATGTTCTGTTTTCTTCCCACAATTCTTCCCTTTTTTTTTTTTAATCAGTAGTTTAAATAAATAAAAAATTTAATATTACATGTAAAATTACACTCTGACCAAATATATTTTATTTAATTTAAATACTTAAAATCACCGTTTTTATTTTTATTGTAAATTAAGACTACAAAATATCTTTGTCTGAACATATTTTCTATGACAATCTTTTGTTTCTGTATGACTGTCCTTTTGTTATGTCAGATTGGTCGGCTAAGCATCTGTTAAAATTTGAAAACTGAAATAATGGTGTTCATAGTTCTCACTAGTCAATTATTCAAAATTTTAATATTATTTTTCTATATTATATTCAGTAATAAATTTTATTAATTACCCATGTTTTTATCTTCCTAAAAATTAATTACCCACGTTAAGCAGATTATTCTGATTTTTTGTCATTCAGGAATATACATTACTTTCTGATTAAATAATGCATACTATTTATTAATTTTTGAAATCTAACATAAAAACTTTGTTTTATTTTAAAAAATAATAACAATTAAAACAGTAATAAGATATTTAATCTTTATAAAATATTTTGAAAGAAAATATAATAAAAAACACTTTCTCAAATAAGAACACATTAGACTCTTTTTGTGCTGTGTGAATATTTAAAAAAAGTTGGAATATTAGATTTTAGTATCTAATATATATATATATATATATATATATATATATATATATATATATATATATATATATATATATATATTAGAGACAATATCAATTTTGCAAATCCTAGAAAATCAATAATCAAATTTTCACATAGTTTGTATTCAGTTTTCCATCAAAATCAAATGATATTAAACATTTTAATAAGTAAAATATATATTTTTTATTTAGTGGATATATATTCAAACAACGGAAAACATATATCTATGCATTTCATTTATTTTAAAAAGAAAAAAAATCTTAATTTTACACATTAAAAAATAAATACATAGTCCCAACATGACATTAAAACAGGTTCATGTTTGCATATTATCTTGTGCTGGGTTCAATTACACAGATCATTGATTGGTTGGTAATTTGATAGCAAGGACACTTGTGGTTGGTTCAACTTGCTTTACATAAATTATACATTGACCATCTACATTATATATTATTATTATTATTATTTTAAGATTGAGGAAGATTGAAGAACGTGTACGTAGAAGAAACAAATATAATTGAATTGTATTAAAAGAGAGAATTAGTAAACTAAAATACAAATTGTTTTCGTAAGAGAGACAAATACAAGAATGTATGTGCAGTTTTTTTTATTAAACTATCGTAGCAATACAACTTTTTCATGTCTTTTGAATTCAATATTCTTCCTCTAATTCGATAATAATTACAAAATTTAAAACTTTGATATGAAACCGTATAGATATAAAATGTGAATGAAGTTTTTGGCATGTAATGTAACACTGCAATGATCCCTTGTCCCCCTAATATGTACATGTCTCTTGTGGTGTATATATGTATTTAATAAACGTGTAATTGCAACAAGACGTGTCGTGTTATAATTAGTTTGTAAGTGTATGAACCGTGGCTAGCATAAGTTAATATTTTTTTGACTCAAGAAAGCACAAATGTCACTTACACCTTGTAACACATGGTCGAATTATGGTTCTTGTGGTCCAGGAGAAATTAACATTTAAAAATCCATTAATTTGACAGATAAATTATGTACGTGGAATGATAATAATAAAATATATATTTCTATTAATTTGTATAAGAAGGTTAAAAATAGGAAATTGTTGCGTAATGAAAAAGGAAATATAATAGTTGAACCCTGTTCTGACCAGTATACACAATTGTATATACTAACATATTCTTCATAGACTTTCTTGAACTTGACCAAGTTTTATTCAGTTTTTGACGAAAGAGCTTGGGACTCAATCAAATAAGGTAAGTTTTGTAAAAGGAAGTAATTTTAGAAAATCAACTCCAAATTTTAAAGGGATATTCTATTAGTGGGACTTTCCTAGTTTGAATCATGAAATTAAATGAATTTTTTAATATGAAGGTTATACGAGTTAGTGATTTAAAAAAAAAAGAATTGAAAATGGTAAGGTGGAAGAAGGAAGTTGAGTACTTTAACGCAAAAATGGATAAAGAGAAAATGGTAGATAGAAAGAGGGTTTAGATTGCGATGTGAAAATGCATAAATGCAATGGGCATTAAGATGGATGGGATAAGAGAAAGATGGGTAAGACGCAAATGGGGCGACAAATGCTGTTCAGTCTTCACAGTTGTGTGGTGCCCTACCGTCCTTGCGCATCAAACTTCTTATCACAACACAACCCATTTTAATAAATAAATGATAATAATAATAACAATAATAAACAGCTAATACCAATTTATTGTTTATTTAATTCAAATGCGTAAATTTAGAAAGAAAAAGAAAAGCAAAGTATGGTTAAAATGCGCGGGTATGTTAAATGCGCCCTCTTTACAATTGCATATCGCTGCCTGTTCACAGCACGACAACGCCATTTCCCAATAAAAACAGTGCAACTTTCCCGCGACCGTCAAGACACACACCGTTAGATGCCTCATCCAATGACGCCTTCACGTCTATTAACGCCGTTAATAGAAACACCTTTCACTGTCCGAGGAGCCGCCAAGGAAATCGCGTTGTTCGCGTTTCCCTGGCAGGGAAAACAATCCCACCGGGTGTAGCCGGTTTCCAACGAGAATGAACCGGTAAAAGCCGGTTGGCCAGAGTGGTTAAGAATTGACCGCGGTTGAAATGATTGCACGCTGTTTTGACCACTCTGGTTAAGTCTCCCCCTCCGACAGTGGTTCTGGTACTGCAATGCAAACCATTTATCAACAGTGAGAGAACAAATCAAACATAAAATAAAATTAAAAGAGAGAGAAACTGAGAGAGAGAGAGAGAGAGAGAGAGGTTGAAAGGGTCCTCTGAAGGTAGAGAGAGAGAGGTTTTGGGAATTGGTGTTGCTGCGCGTGTGTTTATTTCCTGTCGCGCGGTTTGAGGATTTCGTGTTTGGATTCTGCAACAGTGAATAGAAGCGGAGGCTCCGATCTTGCGATGTTGTGTGTGAGAGATCTGTGAGGAGCTTCAACGGAAAAACATGGCGTCGTCGGAGGTATCGATCAAGGGTAATTCGGTGAACGGAAAAGGAGAAAACAGTTGCGGTGGCTACAACAACGGCAACGATGTTAGGAACGGTGGAGGAGAGGCTCATAATGTTTCTTCTTCATCATCCGCGAGAGGTAACGTGGTTTTTTCAGCGAAACGGTTAGTTCGTGCCTTGTTGCGTGTTTGGCGTGACGATAACGTGTCTTTGGTTTCAGACTCGGAAACTGCGCTTTACCGGGAGCTTTGGCACGCCTGCGCGGGTCCGCTCGTGACGGTGCCTAGAGAAGGAGAGCGCGTGTTCTACTTTCCCCAAGGACATATTGAGCAGGTAAGTGTTCTTCCCCCAGTTCGGTAAGAGAGACTTCAGATGCGGGGCTACGCGAGGGAGTTCCGCTTCTGAAGCTGTCTCTCGCACGCGGACTTGGTTTCTTCAGTGGAAATTGGTGTACTTGTGTTTTCTATTTTTGGTTGTGAACACGAGTGTTTGTTTTTATGGCGCACACGCGCATTAGGTGGAAGCGTCGACAAATCAGGTAGCGGAACAGCATATGCCGGTTTACGATCTACCACCCAAGATCCTTTGTCGGGTCATCAACGTCATGCTCAAGGTAGTAATGGTTAATTTTCTTGGCTGTTGAACTGAGTTGGTGGATGAAGTTATTAACATTATGGTACTTGTTTACTTTTTGGCGAAAATTTTCAGGCGGAGCCAGACACGGATGAGGTGTTTGCTCAAGTGACCTTGCTTCCTGAGCCAAATGTAAGTTAATTAATCTCTTTTTAGTTTCTGGGTGTGGAGTAATTCCGCAACGGGGTCGTTCTTATGTTTGTTTGTGGATCTGGATGACAGCAAGATGAAAATGCGGTGGAGAAAGAGGGTCCTCCGGCTCCGCCTCCTCGGTTTCACGTGCATTCGTTTTGTAAAACGCTGACGGCTTCCGATACGAGTACTCACGGTGGGTTTTCGGTGTTGAGACGACATGCTGATGAATGCCTTCCTCCGCTGGTTTGTTTGATCTTTTTGACCCTTTTTACACTTCCACGTGCTTTGGTTGTTTCGCTGTGCTGAAGTTGGGGGTGTCTTCCCCTGTTTCGTGTTTGTTGGCAGGACATGTCAAAGCAGCCACCTACCCAGGAGTTGGTGGCCAAGGATCTACACGGGAACGAGTGGCGATTCAGGCATATTTTTCGAGGTGATTGTTTATAATTTACACCGGATCTTGTTTTTTACTCATGTTCTTACATTCTTGTGTTTTTCCTATTACTAATGAGTAGAGTTAATTTCAGGGCAACCGCGCAGGCACTTGCTGCAAAGTGGTTGGAGTGTTTTTGTCAGCTCCAAGAGGCTGGTTGCTGGGGATGCGTTTATATTTTTAAGGTTGGTTAATTAATGAATTGGGTTTTAGATTTTGCTGGTTTTGTTTGCTTTCGGTGGCAGACAGACTAAATTGGGAACTTTCAGGGGTGAGAATGGGGAACTTCGAGTTGGTGTTAGGCGTGCAATGAGGCAGCAGGGTAACGTTCCCTCATCGGTTATTTCAAGCCACAGTATGCATCTTGGTGTTCTTGCAACTGCTTGGCATGCCATATTGACTGGAACCATGTTCACCGTGTATTACAAACCTAGGTTTGTACCTTGTTCTAGGATATGAATGCTTTGAGTGTTTCCTTTTAGCTGTTTCCCTTCGCAGCATATTTACAGCAATGTCGTCCAATTTCTTTACAGGACTAGTCCAGCTGAATTTATAGTTCCGTATGATCAATACATGGAGTCTTTGAAAAACAATTACACCATTGGGATGCGGTTCAAAATGAGGTTCGAAGGTGAAGAGGCTCCCGAGCAGAGGTAAGAATGTGTAGCGTGTTTTTTTGGCTGATTAAATTGTAATTGGTCTATCTAATTATTGAACATATAGTTTTAGTGAAAGAATTTACTTCACCCGGAATGATAACTTTGTAGATTTACCGGTACCATTGTTGGAATTGAAGATGCTGATCCCAATAGGTGGCCTAACTCCAAATGGAGAAGTCTGAAGGTTGCATTCTGGCTTTCATGTCACTTTGTGTGTCTGTTGAATTGGACATGTTATAATGGAGTTCCCTGTGTGTGATGTTTTTCCAGGTACGATGGGATGAAACTTCTAACGTACCTCGTCCTGAGAGAGTTTCCCAATGGAAAATAGAACCTGCTCTCGCTCCTCCTGCTCTCAACCCTTTACCAATGCCCAGGCCTAAAAGGCCTCGATCTAATGTGGTTCCATCATCCCCAGATTCCTCTGTTCTTACTCGTGAAGGTATAGACTAGAGACTTTCGATATTTTATATTTACAAGATTTAATCTTTGCTAAACATCTGCCAATTTGTAAAGCCTGATCTTTGTTGGTGATTAACAGCATCTTCTAAAGTGAGTGTAGACCCTTTACCAGCAACTGGATTTCAAAGGGTCTTGCAAGGTCAAGAATTATCGACCTTGAGAGGAAATTTTGCTGAAAGCAATGAATCTGACACAGCAGAGAGGTCTGCGTGGTCATCTGCTGCAGATGATGAAAAGATTGATGTTGTTTCCACCTCGAGAAGGTATGGATCAGAGAGCTGGATGTCAATGGGAAGGCATGAACCAACATATCCAGATCTACTTTCTGGCTTTGGGGCCCATGGAGATCAATCTTCCCATTCAGCCTTTGTTGATCAAAATGGTCCTGTAGCTAACCTAAGTAGAAAACATTTTTTGGACCGCGATGGCAAGCATAGTGTTCTTAGTCCATGGCCTGTAGTGCCATCTAATCTATCATTGAATCTCTTGGACCCTAATACAAAAGGCTCTGCTCAAGGTGGTGATACAACGTGTCAGGTTCGAGGCAATTTAAGGTATAGCAGCGCATTTGGTGACTATACGGTCCTTCATGGACACAAAGTTGAGCATTCACATGGAAACATTTTGATGCCACCGCCAGTGTCAGCTCAATATGAGAGTCCTCGTTCTAGAGAACTGTTACCCAAACCAATATCAGGAAAACCTTGTGAGGTATCAAAACCGAAGGACGGCGGTGACTGTAAGCTATTTGGCATCTCACTTCTCAGTAGCCCCATTGCACTCGACCCTTCTGTAACACAAAGAAATGTTGCAATTGATCCAATTGGTCACATGCATACTATACCCCAGCAGCGTACATTTGAAAATGACCCGAAGTTTGCGACTTCTAGGGGTTCTAAACCGGCTGATGGTCTGCTGATTGATGACCATGAAAAACCGTCACAAACTTCTGAGCCCCATTTGAAAGATGTTCAACCCAAATCTAATAATAGTGGTTCTGCTAGAAGTTGCACTAAAGTAAGTTTGCATTTTTATTTCTGTTTTTAACTAATTAACAGCAACAAAATTTTCAGGGAAAATTTAATCGAATGCTTTTGTTTTAGGTTCACAAGAAAGGGATTGCACTTGGTAGGTCGGTGGACCTGACTAAATTCAGTGCATATGATGAATTAATTGGTGAATTGGATCAGCTGTTTGAATTTGGAGGTGAATTAACATCTCCCCAAAAGGATTGGCTTATTGTCTACACTGATAATGAGGGCGATATGATGCTTGTTGGTGATGATCCGTGGCAGTAAGGATCTTTGATTCTACATCTTTGTTTATTCTATACAAGTGTATTTTATTTTAATATCTTGAAATTGACACGTCATGTTGCATAATTCAATTTCCAAATCAGGGAATTTGTTGCTATGGTGCGCAAAATTTATATCTACCCCAAAGAGGAGATTCAGAAAATGAGCCCGGGTACCTTGAGTTCAAAGAATGAAGAGAATCAATCGGCTAGTGAAGGTGCAGACGCACAAGAAAGTAAATGTCAGCTGAATCATTAAGCTTCAGAGATCTGATAATTCGTATAGATTTGATTTCCGTAGCTTGCAGGTAACTTAATAATTATCATGATCCTCGTTTATGAATTCTGAATCCTGTTTACTAGAATCTCATGGTATAAAAATGTGTTGTTTCGATACAGATTCCGGACTGGAGTGGAAAGTAGTAGGTGACTGTCATATAGCCATCCCCTGTTGGAGATTATGACCTGAAGAAGAAAATTCTAATTCTGAATCTGACTGTTTTATCAAGTGACGCTTGTGTTTGGAATCAGAATATGGATGGCATGAATGAGTATCCATCCAATTTTGGACCATGTCGTGGAAGTAGTAGTATTAGTATATATGCCTTTCCTGTTAGACACTCCTAATATAGTAGTAATGGTCTTATGCCATCCTACCTTGTACATAGTTTTACTCTGCTTCCTTAGAACCCGAACTCATTTAATGTAATTAAGTTCATACACAAGGGCGGTTATCTGATTTTAGGTATGTTTGTCAGTATTGTGAACTCGTGGAAATCATTGTGGATATTTAAATATTGATATGCGTTTGGGTAGATTTATAATTAAATTTTGCCTCTATAAGTCTTATTTTGTCCCTGGTGTTTGGCGAGTGAGGCCATTACCGTCATGTCACGAGCGGTGTAGATTGAAGTCGAAGTCATGTCACAAGAGCAGAAAGTGGACACTTGGGTCAGGAGATCACGATGGAGGATTTGAAAATTCCTTAGTGAAATGTATTTGTGGTTATTTGTGATGACACTGCTAGTTGTGGCGTGGTCCTATCTGAGATATGTGTAACGTGGTTACGTGATAAAACTCCATTCCTTGAAAGCACCATCGTTGAATATCCAATAATAGATTTTGAAAAATAAAAAATTGGTTGTACTTTTCAGCTCAAGAAACATACTCTGTATGAACACGTTGTGGACCTCGCGGTTCTGTCCTTTATGTCTATCAAGCTTTGGCCCATGAAATTCATTATTTATCTAGATTAAAAGTGGGCTACAGTGGGGACTGTGTTTGGCCGAACCTTTATTTTTTAGCTGCGGATGCATGAGACCCCATTTATCCTAGCCTCTTCAGAAGCCAGCATTGAATTTTAAGTTTTGTCTGGTAAAAGTTCTTTTTTTTTGTATCTCATTTTATCTTTATCTCCTTTTCATTCTTGGTAAAGAGGAAAGATGAATTTTTGTCGAGCAGGATTAATGAAAGAGGGAAAGAGAGAACAGCGCATTAAAACTTTTGTCTCTATTAATTGTACAACGAAGTCAATGAAGTTGTAGAAACAAGCTTCACATCAACATGCATTTTCATAATGCCCCTAAACTGAGTGGAGAGACCATCATCAGATTTCGTTTCAATTTCAACCATCAGAAGGTCCCAAATTAGTAGTACTTTTAATTGGTAAAATATTTGTTCTCCTAATTCAACTGAGCAGAAGTTAAATGAGACTGTAAAGTACACTTGAATATTGAGCATTAAAAACATTAGGATTGCTAAATTGACTATTTGTAAAGGTAGTGCCAGTAGTTTGTTTCTTGCTATTAGCTCATGCTATGGAAGCCAGCTGAGTCCAATAGAATTGCTTTGATTAGCTCTGGATGCACGTCTTGACCTTTGTGTATCTGAACGAGAGAGAAGGAAATTCATAATAGTCATGATGTTTAATTTTTAGGTATCATCTCAATAGGAATTATAACCTTAACTTTAAAGCAAGGAATGTTCCCAGGAAACATAGAGTATAATAGCATTAATTAACATTTCTTCTGCCTTCAAAATACATGAAGAATTCTGAATCATTTGACAATGTTGTGCAAATCCTTCTATTAACTAAATACATGATTGGAAACATTTTTTTTTTTAAATATTAAATATATTTAATCTTTTTAACTTTTCTTTCATAGTGTATTAAAAGAATTTAGTCAAAATATGTTTGTTGAATTTTATAGCAATAATAGTATAAAAACCTTTATATCAATACAGTGCACACAAATTAAAAGTAATGTAATTTGTAAATGAAAGTAGCCACAATGAGTGCATGCACATGGTTTCATTTTATAATGAGAATTAAAGAATAAAAGAAGGTTCACCTCAGCTCTGAAAATATCCATAACAAATCCATTGAAATAGGTGATAACTGCTTGGTGGATGTCTATGCCAAGGTTGTCGAGAGCCCTCATGATAGACAGCAAGAGACCAGGTTTGCGCTCACAAAACATGTGGATGTTTACACCTCTTCCTTCACGAAACCCAACCTCAACCTGTGCTTGGTGGACATTTTTTATTCATTGAATGGTTTCATTAACAAATATGTTTATCTCAAATAATACTATTTAATCTAGTTATTAAGGAATTAAGTTCATGTTTTAATATATTAAATGGTTTGTATACTTTATTAGTTACTTCATATTTTTTAGGCATTAACCAGTAAGAAGATGCCTGTTAACATTAAATAAATATTCATAAAATGCTTGTCTTAGCTGTGAGAAGAGCTTAGTGCTAAAATTACTAAATTCAACAAATAACTTTCTACACTCTTCTTAGAATACTACTTTTCCCTTTTTATCACAAAAATAAAAATAAAATATGTAAGTTGTTACTCCCAAACCTGAATAATAAACCTACATTTAAAAAAAAAAAAAAACTCCTACATAACATGTTTGGGAAATTTCCAACTTCATAAGATTTGGAATAAAATTTAAAAGCTTAAAACAAACACACTCTAAAGTGTTTTTATTTTTAAGACTAGAGAATATAAAAGGAAATGAGAACGATACACTTTTCATGGAATCATGCCATCCAAGAAGAAACAAAAGCTAACCTCCTCATCAAAGCACACACAAACATATACAAATATTTCTTGTCGTGTCATATATGATATCCATATCCAGAAATAGGAACAGAAATAAAGGAAACCATGTGGATTGAAGCATATATATGGGAAAATAAAAGGACAAGTTCCAGAAAAGTGCAAGCAATGTTACCCTCACTGGTTGGCCATTGGGGCTTGGCAATGAGCTGAGGCAAAGTTCTTCTTGCACACGTGTTGGTAAAGTGGGTGTCAAGGGATGAAAAAAGCTTGAAGTCAATGAAGAGACAGCTGGTGGTGCTGACTCCAATTCATTGTGAAGGTCACCTATCCTTTGCAGAAGTTCCTTCAAATACTCTATTGCATCCCCAAGTATTGAAGCCCTGTCCATCTTCATTTTAAACCAAACCTCGTCAAATAATTCAACAATTCCATACATATATCCACCCCAAACAAAAATAAACCAATGAAACCATGTTATGATGTATACATGTTGATTTATCAGTCCTTTTATATAGATAAATATATATTGATTTATCAGGGAATATTATGATCGAGTATAGTCTATAACATAAATGTAAACTCTCTAGGACTAGATGTGATTAACTAACCATAGTTCCTAACTGAAGATAACAGTAATAATTGGTGGTTATTCCATCATGATAAAACTCAGAATGCATTTTTCTTATTTTCTAAGTGTTTTTAACTAGTGTTGTTCTATAGTTATAATTGAAGTTTCAGCATTATAACATATGTTATATATCTTTGATACAAATCTTATTGCACAAAATTATATTGAAGTAAAAGTCTGACATGAAAAACAATACTAAAAAGAATTGAATAAATGCATTGGTGTAAAACCAAATTTAGTCTTACTCTGCTAATATTGGGAACAACGGATCTCAGCATGTAGAGTCTATCACTAAGCTTCTTCCTTCGGCGGCGTTCAGCCATCAAATTCTTAGCAGGTATCCATGTCTTCTTCTTGCCCTTTTGATCCACGCCACCGGTGACGGTGCTATTCGCATTCGAGCTGATTCCACCGTTCCTTCCACCCTCTTCCATCATCTTATTCTCATCACTCTCATCAGAATCATAATTCAACCCCGACCCTTCAAAACTTCCACCTTCAACACCTTCTCCATTATAACACGTCTTTCTCTTATTGCTACTACTATCACTATTCCCTTTACTCTTGCCTTTGCAGTTATTTTCCAAGCTTTTTCTAAGTGCTGCTCGCTTCTGAAAAAGTGTTGGTTGTGCACCTGATGGGTGGAACGATTCAAGGGGTCTCAGTAAGTTGGACCTGCTCAGAAGCAAGGCCTTCGTTGAACCCTCCACGTGATCGGAGTTACTAATATTCTTGAATCCCGAAAATCCTACACTGTCTTGTTGGGGAGGCATTGCACACATGGTTGCTAAATTTGGAAGGGCTGATTGGTTATTATCATTTGAACTGAAGAAGACACCACCATGATCAACTTTGTTCAATGCTTGAGTGTCAAGAAATCCCACTTCAGAACCCGCGCAAAAGTCATGCTCCAACGGGTAAAATAAGGGTTTAGAAGTGAGGAAGTTGTGCACTTGAGATAGGCCGAGGTTAATGGAAGAAGAGAAAGTGTGCAACGGTTGCAGTTGATGGAGTAACGTGTTATTAGCGAAGTTGGTGGAGAAGGCCATGTCTCTAATATGTGAGTGGTTTTGGTTGTTGTCGTTGGGCACGTGCCATTCCTCATGGATATCGGAGATGGGTTTGTAAGCACACAAGCTTAATTCATTGGCGTTTGGGTTTGGCCATGAAGCAGAGTTTTGTTCTTCTGTGTCTTGCATCCAACCAGACATCATTTGGTGTTGTTTCTTTTGTTTTGACAAAGGATGGCTTTTGATATTTGGGTGGGGTAGAAGAATTGAAGAAAAGAAGAAGCTTTTGATTGAGTTTGGTGAGGTGAGAAAGAGAACTTTGCAGAAGGAAAAGGGCATCAATAAGTAGGCATAGGACTAGAATTGCATAAATCATTTTGGAGTAGGAATGATCTTGGTTGGTGAGTGGTTCTTATTTCTTTCGGGGAAATTTTAAACGGTTTATGTTTTGGGTTTTGAAGTGTGATCGAAAGGATAGTTTAAAAGTAAATTAAAGTCGAAGCACGTATCAAGTCAAGCATTATTATCATATTTAAAAGACTAAAACTTGTAATTCTTTTTAAAGGATTACCAAAATATAGGTAAAGTATAATTATTAATATCCATTGCAAAAATAAATACTATAATTTTAACTAGGGAAGATGGTAGGAAACAAAAGGAAGTGAATTTAAGTGAGTATGAATATCATATGTGTCTTGTGAAGCCTTTAATTCATCTTCATAGAAGACTCTGCCCAATTTAACCCTAACACTCTATCCTTATCTATTGTAAGTTTTGACCTCACCAATATCATTCAATTAAATAAATAAATGAAATCTGATTTTTTTTTAAATAAAAAATAAAAACATGACATTAAATAATTCATGTGACGTTAATGTCATGCTCAAATTCTCATTGTACCTATTAATATTATATTGGAAACTTTTGAACTTTTATTTGAGTATGTTAGAAATAGAAATTATAGTTGTAAATAGTAGTGGATATGACCAAATGTTGTAACCCTAAATACTAGGACCCACTGAATCAAATGAATTTGCAACATGCATGTGTGACTGAGGGACAGAATTGAATGCAATGAATAGAAATTTGAAATCATAAGATATGCCGAATAGGTTTAGAAAGCAAGGAGGGACAAGAATCTTAAATAGGTTTGCAGTGAGTGAAGGGAGTTTGGAAAGGCATGGGAAAGGAAGGTACCCTTTATTATTTCTCTACTAAACTCGTGAGCATGGGACATGCATCTTCATTTCCCTTTCCCTTTCCCTTTCTCCTGTGGGGTATGTCAACCCTAATTATTTCTATCCTCACCCCTAGTTGTTCCTATCCTCAACCACAACACAATTTGCTCAACTATTCACTAATGCATCTAAAATTTTATTACATGAATTAATATTAGATACATAAATCACCTTCTTTCTTGTTAAAAGTTTTATAAATTGCATTCCCTGAAAAACCAAACATTTATATATATGTAATTCTACTCTATTATTGATTCTTAGGGGAAGCTAAAACATCATTTTTTTTTTATTTAGTCAGTTTTTAATTTTTTAAATTATTTAGTGGTTTCAAACCCTACTTCCAGAAGAAGTTTTGCGTTCGTAGTACACAATGCAACGATGATGGGAGTAAATAAAATAAAATAAAAAACGAAATAAGACCCATACTTTACCTATTAAAAATTTAAAATATTTAATGAGAAATTTAATAATTTCATCCACTATTTGCCACTGTATTCAAACTTCAACAAAAGCCCATAATAAAGAGAGAAATGGATGAGCTAGTGTGTACATTGAGCTAATTAATTCCTTCACCCCCTATTTTCTAACTACACTGTGAGATAACATAAGTTTCATAATATTCTCAGAAGATTTATGAGATGGATAATCCGAAAGTGTATTTCAGAGTAACTCATTCTAACTAAACATTTATATGGAATGTTTCTATCGTAAATAAGAATAAAATAAACTTTTTTTTATCCTTTTCAAAATAAAAACTATGAAAGTCCCATCTATGTGAAAAGAATAAAATAATAAAGTCATATTTTATATGGAAATGAAGAGGAAAAAATATAATACATTCACGCAATGTACAGGAAAAAAAGTGAAAAAAGATTAATAAATATTTTATGGACAAAATGAATATATATATATATATATATATATATATATATAAAAGAAAAAAAAAAGAAATTAGAAATTAACATTTTAAAAATCACTTGAGTGAAGGAACTTACCATTACTAGTAAAATCAAACAAGTTTTTCCGAAAGAAAAAAGCAAGAAACTAATAAAATGATTTTGCATATATATATATATATATATATATATATATATATATATATATATACTGAATATAATAAACATACTCTCATATACTAAAGTTGTATTAAATTAAGTTATGAAATTCATTTAAAATGAACCCAATTTCAAACAAACGGTACCCATATTTCACGTCATTTACACTATAAAATGCTGCTTCTTCGTCTTTTTCTTTCTCGTTGGCAGGGTTTATGCTTTCTTCTATTTCTTCCCCGCGCGTGGCGAGCTGTGTCACCGATACGTAAGATTACACCTTTTTACCTTCATTCCTGTTATTCTTTTTTCTTCAAATTAATTCATTTTTTGCTCGTGATTTCTGCTGCTACTGCTATTCGTGATTTGTTTGTTTTTTTTTTTTTTTTTGGTTTTTCTCGTTGCTTGTTCTGTTTCTTTTTGTTTTACTTAATCTTTCAAATTATATTTCCCATTTCTGCAGAATAAAAGGTAACCCTCACATTGACCAATTATACTGTGATTTTTGAGGAGTTCACCACACTTGTTAGTGAGGTTTTGTACTATGAGTGCACGTTTTCTTGCGATTCTTGATTTAGTAGAAAATTGTTGAGAAATACAGTTGTTGTTATTGCAATTGCAGTTGCGAAACAGCTGTAAAGACTCCAAAAACCTTGAGGTTGTGACCGAAATCGCATTCGCAATCACAATCATAGGCCATTTTTTAAAACCTTGCACGTAAGGTAAAACCTTGAACACAAACTGTGCAGTAACAATGACATAATACACCATAACAAATTCGAACCCAATAATGCTTCCAAAAACTATGCCTATACACAGCCACCCGGCTTGACAAAAGGTGGTTATTGGCTGCTGATATGTGTAATGATTGATACAGGTCAATTGAGGACCCCATTTAGGCTATTAGAACAAAAGACAGTGCTGTGTGTATAATATATACTTCTTTTGTTAGGTTAATCCATTTGTCCAATATAATCCATTTCTCATATTTTAGTTAATAAATCCCTCTTTCTGCTCAAACAAAACCGGGACGAGTTGCCCAAACAGAACTGGGAAGAGCTTGTAGTTCATTCTATGCGTCCATTACAATTTATCCTACATTGCATGATATCATACAATTCAATTATTTTGACTCACTTTTCTTTCTTGACTTTAATAGTAACTACTATGGGGTTGACTTTTAGCAATCTTATTATAAGATGCTATGATGAGTTCTGTACTTAGAGAAAAAGGGATGAGTGACAAATTGCAGACTCCTCAGTTTAACATGTACTCTGCAGGCTACACCATACTAATTAGCTTTGGTTACCCACACAATTAACAACTTAACAATTAATAACCTTGATATTAATAAGTTGTATATGCAATCCTGCTACACTACGTGAATGCAAAAGGTGGACTGTCATGATGATTGGCACTGTCTTAGCTTTTCTTTTGTAGTTATGAGTTATGTTCTCTTCCAACTTTTAATTTCTATGCAGTTTCAATCTGAGATATTTCTATCTTATTGTAATCTGTGTTGTGATCAGTATATAAAGACACAAATGAGCAGTGGTGGAAGAGCTGGGAAATCCAAAGAGGAGGAGCAGGATGGCATGTCTGTACACTCTCCTTGCAAACCTCCTCCTTCCTCTGCTTCCTCTCTCCCCAAGGTCTCTCTCTCTCTCTCTCTCTCTCTCTCTCTCTCTTGAAATTTGAATTTGGAATGGGAATTGACATCTGGTTGTGGTGATAGGAACAATCACAAGTTGAATTGGAGCTGAGATTGTTGGAAGCTCTTGAGATTTACCCTCCAATGAGACTACAAGGTAATACACACGTGTGCATACATGCACACATAATTATTTGTGGATCATGGGTGATTTTGATATAACAATTTTGGTATTGATAAGTAAAAAGGAAAAATAATGTTTTTCTTTTCTGAAATGAAATGTGGGTGGAAAATTATGTGTAATTAAATGTGTTAATGATTATGGACTAAAATATTTACACTGTCAACCAACCAATCATTCATTATTGGTATGACTTTTAAGGTAGTTATTATAGAAGTCAACAAACTTACCATACATGGAGGTTTGTGAATTGGATGACAGTGTAAGTATGCTTTACACTATCAGTACATAGCCTATTTTCTCTAATTAAATTTGAAAGTGAATGTAAAATACAATTTGTTGTTTTGAACTGGAAAAATATCAGGACATATTTAGTAATGTTGTCTAACTAGAATGAAAACAAATGAAGTTGCAAGATGTTTAAAATCTACACTTTCTTGTCCCCAATTGAAGTGGGTATAGTTTGTGGACTGTAGTACCAACTGCCAACTCATGGGATTGAGGATTATGTCACTTTCTAGTAAGTGGGATTTTAGAGAGAATTGTTTTTCCCTTTTGGGGATGGGGTAATTTTCTCAATTTCAGCCTTTATAAATGATCCTAAAATTGAGAATTTGAGATATATTTTGGTACTTATAATTTTTACAAGAACTGCAAAATTTGCAATTTGGTTACTCAATTTACAGTGGTGATGGCCTAATCTTTGATTACTCCTTTTATAACTTATTTTTTATTCAGTAAAATCTATAGCATATGTAACATTTTTTTAAACATTAAATAGTTGCTCCAGTAAAATAGGAAAGCATACTTTAGAAAAGGTTATTGGTGATGTAAGGCAGCTTGGTGGTCTAGGAGAACTTTAACTAGTTCCAATCTTTGGAGAAAGATAATACTGAAATGGGAACCTTCTGATAAGGCCGTTTAATCCTGAAATGAAATGGAGAAAGATGCTTTGTGTTAATTGAAGTGAAGCCAAGGGATAATGCATGGAGCTGTCTGGTCGTACTGTTTACTTTGAGATTTCGTAATTGAGAAAATGTAAAATATTCTCCATTGCTGCGGTAAGTGATATCTGCTTTGACTTGAACACTATGTAACTAGTGACACCAGTTAAAACTCAACTATTTACGATCATTGATTGAGACGTTTTTTGTCAATTTTGTACGTTAACCCTTCCAGTAAACAGTAAGCATTTGTAATGATCATTATTGATTTGAATTGCACTTGAGTTTTGTTGATGAACTCATTACAGTAATTGCTGCTTGTTTAGCTGTTATTTGATACTTTGCATTTCTTATTTTTATCAAGGGTTAAGCTAAGATGTGTCATGGATGATCACTTTATCCTTATAAAGTATTCCCTTTTTAGATAGTTGACTCTAGTTCGATCAAGATTCATCAAATTTGATGCTTACAATTAATGTTGATTTCATGAAGGAGTACATCGCCACTTTGTCCTTTATGGTCTGATGGAATTTCTAAAAAGGAAGTTTGACAGACACTTTTCTTCTGAGGAGGTTCTTCAATTGTTGGATCGGTTCTACAACATAGAGATGCTGGTATGTTATTGAGTTGTTGGTTTTCACATTCATCTTGCTACTTCTCAAATAAGATGTTGGTTTGTTATTTTTAACATTGTACTATGGATTTTGAGAACTGATAAAGTGTAGTGGTTTATCTTTCTCCCTCAGAAAACAGATGATGATGAGATTGATTTGCTTACTCACGAAGAAGAATTTTCCTTGCCTCAAAGTTACTTTGTCAAGGAGGAACCCTGACCATCAACTTTTGGAGTATATACATTTTTTTCTTCAGCCATTGTTCATGTTTTGATATGTACAGCTTGTTATTTATTCCTTTCCCCTCTTCCCGGTTTTGGGATATTATGTTCACGTGGGCATGGGAACTCTGCTCTAGTTTGATACCCTCTGTCATAGTGTATTTAGCTAGCTAGACTGATTTGGCTATAATGTATTTAGACTCGAGATTATTAAATCCATGACAGACGCATCATGCAACCATAATCTGATTATATTATTTATTTTAGATCCTTCAACTAAATCATTTCAATTTATTTGTAGGGATTTTCACTACTCCAGCGGCACTGACAAAGAAATAGGGAGAATAAAGTGGAAAGTGTACAAGTTAACTGATGTAATAGAGGTAGAAAAGTAGTGCTGTAGAAAATTCCTACCAATAAATTGGAATGATTTTGTTGAAGGACTTAAAGGTAGTTTTTAAAGCAAAATGTGAGGAGGGGTTTTGATTTTAGGGTCACCCGATGTTGTGCTGTTACCATGTGATGGTTTGGTGGAACAGAGGAAATTTGGGGCCAAATGGGGTATAAACCCAATGGGTATAGCTAGTGTATTAATGGCAACTTTTTGTGAGGATGGGAAAGACAACCTAGTTTTTGAAAGAAATGAGAAATCAGGAAATGGAGCATGATGTAGCTTGTTAGTGCTGGAGATAACCAACACAAAAGGTCTTCTGCCCGTAGGGAGATGTTGGCCACTTTCCATGCACGTAGATGGTTCTTTTTTCTCTCATGTTTTTGAAATCTTTCAATTCTTTTTGAAGGATCCAAGGCTGGACAAGAGGGTCATGCGGTTCATGATGAACCACTCTTTTAGACTAATCTCTTCTTCACATTTATTTGATGCATTGTTTGTACCAAATAAACTTTTTTCTCCTTCCTCTCGCTACCTTTATCACTTGTCTCATTGAAGAAGAGATACACCACATAAATAAAGCGAAAAAGATGGAAAACCTCGTATCTAAGTTGGTGGAGGGTTGGCTTGATTTGGATTCAAAACCCTCACATTGAATTTGACCTATTTTGAGTTACATCTATTATGTACATTCTTTGATGACCTTTTAAAATTATCCGAATCGTTTCTTTTAAGATATTGAAAAATTGAAAATTCTTGGTTTTCCTTCAATGTGTTTGCATAAGTACTTGATCATTGAAAACAGCTTACTTATAGAATATAGTGTTGTAAGAGTGAATTGGCTTGGTCAAACTAAAACTTGGGGTCATAGTCAGTTTTATTTGTTGGTTCCATTTTGTTACTTAGGAAACTTGTGGAAGACATCATCAAACCAATGTAAAATCAAATTAACTCGTATTGACGAATCATGGATTGAATCGTTTCGCTCATTTGTTATTTTAAATTATTTGTCACATATACATGTTCCAACAAATCACTTTTTAGAAGATGGTATAATTGTCCTATTATAGTTGTACTATGTTATTGGTATTGATATTATATGACTCAAGATCAAATACATGTACTGTGGTAGGATACAATAAAACCAAACATTAGTTGTGTGAAAAATGTAAAAACGATTCAAGCCAAAGATTTAACTGTGACCATGAAAGTTTTAAAATTATGACTTGCCAAAATATCATTTCAACTTATTAGTAATTAAATTATAGTCTACTAATAAAACCACACCACACAATTTTAGTCATGAGATTAGCTTAATGAGTTAATGATTAGTTCGATTTTTATATCATTGTTAGAATGTATTTAAATACAATACATTGCTTTTAAGATGAAGGATACTTGTATACTAAAGATCGATGCATCTAAATGTTGATTTTTATTTTTGGTAATTTGTTCTAATGATGGGATGTCTTGTATTTTTAATAACATTTTTTAAGGAAATAATTAATAATTTAAGTTTATATAACACTTAAACTCTATAGTATGGTTGACTTAATCCAAGTTTTATGACTTAGGAGCATAAAATATATCATAAGTGCATTTGTTAAGAGTTTAAAGTTTTCGAGCATCAATAAGGTTAATAGGTAGAGGCTTTTTTGTAAATTTTATTTTTGATTTAATAGAGGATACAAAATTACTCAAATAATTAAATACAAATATTTTTAAGTACAATTAGTCAATCATAATCATTAAGCAAACTAAGGAATGCAATATTGAAAATAATAATGATTTTAACAAAAAAAAAAAATTTTAAGCGATGAAAGTTTAAAAATTTAACAAAAATTCAAAAATTTAGAAACTTTAAATTTTCCACTTTTCATCAACTAAAAAGAAAAGATAAATTGAATAGATGAAATTGATTAAGTAGAGTAATGATATTGACAATAAAACAAAAATATAATATTTTGGGATTTGTTTGATATAGTTTTGTTTTGTTTTAATTTTTAAAAATAGTTTAGTAACTAATTTAAAAAAATTATTCTTGAGAATAAGTTATATTTTTTTTGTTTGATAACTATAATTTAAAAACTGTTTTAGGAGTAAAAAGATGAAAAAAAAACTTGTTTGATAAAATTATTTTCTAAAATATTTTTAGAAAATTGTTTGATATAAATATTTGAAATTATAAATAAGTGAAACCAATGTTTTGAATAATTATTTTCGGTTATACTTGTTGTCTATAAGAATGATCGTTAAAATATGTAAATATTATTTATCATTTATAAATATTATGAAAACAAATTAAAAAACTAATAAGGAAGTTGTTTCAACGTGATTTCAAACTAAAATATTATTTTTCTCAACAAAATAACTTAAAAAAGAGAAGTTAAAATGGATATAAAAAATATTATGGAATATTTCAATTTAAATAGAATTTTATTTTAAAATATTTACAATTTTATTATTAATGAAAAACTAACAATTTATTTTCGTGTTTTGATTGTTTTAATTTAAGAGATAAAATAAAAACAAACTAGCAAAACCTTTTTTTTTTTTAAGTTTTTAAAATCTATTTTAATAAAATAATGATAAAACAAGTTTTTTAATATTAAAAAAATCAAAATACTAAAAGTTATTAGTATTACATTTTTTAATTTCTAGTATTTTATCATTATATTTCTAACAAAATTACGTCTATAAACATTTATAATAAAACAAATGACATTTCTTTTGAGATATATAACCATTTTGTTATAACACTGTTTCTATGTAAATGTAGTCTTTTTATAAAAAATAAATAAAAAATTTCTTAATTTAATAAATTTAAGTCTATTAATAAGATGTTCACTTATTTGTGATTCAAGTGAATGAATTCATGAGTTTTGTTTTTTTTTTAATAAAAAATACACAGATAAATAAAGATGGAAGTATAAAAGTATTATTTTAAAAATTAACCATTTTAATATTTTAATAAAATTGAACGTTAGAGTCATGTATTATTTATCATGTTAATTTAACAAATTATATTAACTAATTAGATAATTAAATTGTAATATATAGGATATATTTATAAAAATAAGAGTTCCATTTTTTTTCATATTAATTATTTATTATGAGTTATTTTTTTATTATTAGATTAAAAAATGTCAGTGACAATAAAAAATAAGTTTTTAATTTCTATTTTTGAAGTAAATGATTTTTCTTACATATTTATAATATAACAATTAGATTTATATTCATTTTTTTATAAATATAGTATATGCTTTAGTAAAAAATTAAATATAAGATTAATAAAAAATGAAAATGAAATTTAGGAAAATATGTTAAATATTTTAGTAAAAAAAACTTTATAAATAACAATATCTACCATATTAAAACAATATAATTTAACTTCAGAAACTTAAGTCAACAATACTTATCTTATTTTGACTAAACAATAGTCCTCATAAACATTTATCGCATTTTTTTTATCGCATCGCTTATTTTAATTAGGTTGAATAATTTACAAGGTCCTTTAAAATATATGTTTTAATTAATTTTTAAATATTAATAAATAAACAAATCAATAATATTTAAAAATTTAATTTTTGATATATATATATATATTTTATTTTATTTAAAACAAGTCTCTCTATATTATTATTATTATTATTATTACAATATAGTTTAATCTATGTGAATTAAATTTTATTTTATCAGAATTGAATAAATTACATTGTAATAATACATTATTGAGATTTAGTTGAAATATAAAACATTATAAAATATTAAAGCTATTTTTGAAAAATTTATTTTATTTTTTATTAAAGTTCTAAAATTAAATTAAAATTTATATGACTTAAATTGATTATATTACCAATTCTTTTAAAATAATATTTTATTTCACTTGGGGGTGTATATCTTTGTTATTTATCCAATTTTTTAAATTTTTAATTATTAACATAAATTGTTTTAAACTAATAAAAAATAATTATAAATTATAGTTAAGAAAAAAAAGATATATTAAATATTTTGAACATGAAATAAAAAAAAATACAAGCATAATACTATATAAGTAAAAAATAATAAAAAAAGTTTGAAACTATTTTTTTATATTCGTTTTCAGAAAATTGAGTCACTAAAACTCCTGTTATTTTTAGTAATAAAACAGAACCTGCATTAATTCAATAACTTTGAAGTGAAAATAAAAATAAAAATGTTATGATGTGTTGGAATGTGACAGAGAAAAGAAGAATAGTTTAAACACGTGCACCTTTGTGTCTAGGGTAAGTCACTTGTCACCTCCTTAATTGTTTTTTTCACTAATGCATTGTTTTTAATTACTGTTTTTATCAACAACATATTGCGTGTTAGGTGAATCACTAGGAAATAAATACATGTCATTTTATCTCGCTTCTCTTCATCTCCTCCCTTTGCCGGCCACGCCTTCTCTCTATATCCCTTCACTTTCTCTTTCTTCTTATTAATCTTTCAAAATTTCCCCCTTTTATCTCGATTCTATTCCCTTTTGTCTGTCTTTAAGTCCATCGTCTCTCTTCCGGTAAGTTGTTGTTGTTGTTGTTGTGTATATGTTTTTGCAAGAGTTTCTTTCAATTAGGTTTTGGAAC